AATCTTACGATAGCATTGCCGGTGGCATCGGCCCCAAGGTATATCAAAGTAGGCTCAGACAAATACAACATCAACTGAATGAAAAGAATAAGCCAAATCTGCCTAACAAGGAAGAGAACCCAGTAGTCATTCTGGTGGATTCTAGATGATTGCTTCGAAAATCCTGCCCGGGTAGTCAGCTTACTGCGTCCGTATTGGCGGATTCCATACGAGCGGTTAGTTGGGCGGATAAAATCAGTCCAAGTGTGATTAAATTCACGGTGCACGGTGAACCTCTTAGCTCAGTGCTAGAGCCTTGGCTGCGCAAAAGGCTTCTCTGCTATGTGGGTTCGACTCCCACTGAGACCGCGAATTTTCCTCAATTGGGTCATCTGAAATACAGCGTCATCAGCAAGCTTAATACTTATTTTTTGTCTAGAAGTCGCTAATGAATATGTTAGCCGTGAAACCATTTTCCTTTTAAATCTTTACACCGAAAAAAACCGTAGGGTATTATCAAGCATATATTGTGTGCATTCTGTTTCGACAGAAGAACTATTTTCCCAAGCTTCAAAGTTCGCCTCCTTATAAGTACATATTTTGGCAGCTACTTCCAACGACCTCAAGCCCACTTTAGACTGTTTGCCTTTTACGGTCCCCCCCAATGGAGATTATACATGCCACACTCATGGAAGAGCATCCCAAACGACCCTTCTTCAGACAATCATCGCTCCAATTATAATGTGCGTGCATGTGTGTTTCTCACGGAGTTGATAGCTCGAAGTTATACAAACTTACGTGCGCACAAATGTAAATGCGCAGACGGTTTGGTGAAGTTCCAGTTCACACACACACGGGAACCGCCGCGCTTTACTGCTGTCATTAGTTCATTAGGGTGTCAGACCGAGGTGCAATGCAGTGCAGGCGCTCTGGTGCACACAAGAAGGCCATTCAAGTGAGCCATTCAGCGTGGCTCACCGCACGGCAGCACCAAGTGACAAACACGCACATGACATCGCCCTACTTGCTTTTACCATCGCCGCCGCCGCCTCCGCTCTCTCTGTGTTTTACTTACCTGTTCGTCTGCTGTCTTTGGTTTGTTCAGGTGTGTGTGGGTGCGTTTGTGCGTGCTTGGAGCGCAAGTTGGCTGCGCTGCCGCGGTGAGTAATGCGTATGCATCACTTGTTGATCCGTTGGTCTCGCGACTACTACTTGGCAAGACCGTCTGCAGCGGTAGATATATCCTTACTCCACACTCAAACAGGCGTCCACAGTCAAGATGGCAGTTCAGGGCTTTCTGCATGCCTTCGATAAGATCGACAAGGATCACGACCACATAATCAGCCATGAGGATCTACGAACCTACGCCAAGGAGAACAATATGCCCGAATCCTTTGTCACCGTAAGTGCATTAGATCTACGGTTGTGTGTGTGCGTGCGTGTGTGTATGTGTCATACCGTTACTTATGGTCCTGTCCAG